TTGTTGGAGACTTCATATCTCTCAACTCGGGTATTTGCTTGAAATATTAACTTCAACTCCTGGAACATCTCATATTCTCCATGACGTTCAAAAGCGTCTTTGAAGTCCCGATTCTAAGCCGTTAAGCATGGTGCACTAAACTATCTAGTAGTCATCATATTTAGCTAGCCAAACGTTCATAACGTCAGCATCTGCTCCTGCAATAGGTCTATCACCTAGCGGTGCATCAAGGACATAATTCCTCTGTGCAGCAATGAGGATAAACCTCAGATCACGGATCCAATCCGCATCATTGCTACTAACATCTTTCAACACAATTTTTCTCTAGGAACATATCAAAATAAACATATGAAAGCAATAACGCGAGCTATTAATCTACAACATAATTTGCAAAATACTACCAGGACTAAGTTCATGATAAATTTAAGTTCAATTAATCATATTACTTAAGAACTCCCACTTAGATAGACATCCCTCTAATCCTCTAAGTGATCACGTGATCCAAATCAACTAAATCATGTCCAATCATCACGTGAGATGGAGCAGTTTCATTGGTGAACATCACTATGTTGATCATATCTACTATATGATTCACGCTCGACCTTTCGGTCTCCGTGTTCCGAGGCCATATCTGTATATGCTTGGCTCGTCAAGTATAACCTGAGTATTCCGCGTGTGCAACTGTTTTGCACCCGTTGTATTTGAACGTAGAACCTATCACACCCGATCATCACGTGGTGTCTCAGCACGAAGAACTTTCGCAACGGTGCATACTCAGGGAGAACACTTCTTGATAATTAGTGAGAGATCATCTTAAAATGCTACTGTCAAACTAAGCAAAATAAGATGTATAAAAAATAAACATCATATGCAATCAAAAAATATGTGATATGATATGGCCATCATCATCTTGCGCCTTTGATCTCCATCTCCAAAGTACTGTTATGATCTCTATCGTCACCGGCATGACACCATGATCTCCATCATCTTGATCTATATCAATGTGTTGTCACACGGTCGTCTCGCCAACTATTGCTCTTGCAACTATTGCTATCGCATAGCGATAAAGTAAAGCAATTATTTGGCGCTTGCATCTTATGCAATAAAGAGACAACCATAAGGCTTTTGCCAGTTGCCGATAACTTTAACAAAACATGATCATCTCATACAACAACTTATATCTCATCACGTTTTGACCATATCACATCACAACATGCCCTGCAAAAACAAGTTAGACGTCCTCTACTTTGTTGTTGCAAGTTTTACGTGGCTGCTACGGGCTTAAGCAAGAACCAATCTTACCTACGCATGAAAACCACAACGATAGTTTGTCAATTTGACTCCGTTTTAACCTTCGCAAGGACCGGGCGTAGCCATACTTGGTTCAACTAAAGTTGGAGAAACTGTCACCCGCAAGCCACCTATGTGCAAAGCACGTCGGGAGAACCGGTCTCGCGTAAGCGTACGCGTAATGTCGGTCCGGGCTGCTTCATCCAACAATACCGCCGAACCAAAGTATGACATGCTGGTAGGCAGTATGACTTATATCGCCCACAACTCACTTGTGTTCTACTCGTGCATATAACATCAACATAAATAACCTAGGCTCTGATACCACTATTGGGTTTCATAGTAATTTCAAAAAATTTCCTACGCACACGCAAGATCATGTGATGCATAGCAACGAGAGGGGAGAGTGTTGTCTATGTACCCACGCAGACCGACTGCGGAAGCGTTGACACGACGTAGAGGAAGTAGTCGTATGTCTTCACGATCCAACCGATCAAGCACCGAAACTACGACACCTCCGAGTTCGAGCACACGTTCAGCTTGATGACGATCCCCGGACTCCGATCCAGCAAAGTGTCGGGGAAGAGTTCCGTCAGCACGACGGCGTGGTGATGATCTCGATGCACTACAGTAGCAGGGCTTCGCCTAAACTCCGCTACAGTATTATCGAGGACTATGGTGGCTGGGGGCACCGCACACGGCTAAGGAATAGATCACGTGGATCAACTTGTGTGTTTCTGGGGTGCCTCTGCCTCAGTATATAAAGGAGCCAAGGGGGAGAGGGCCGCCGGCCAGGAGGAGGGCGCAGGAGGAGTCCTACTCCTTTCGGGAGTAGGACTCCCCCCCCCAATCCTAGTTGGACTAGGATTCCCCGAGGGGGAAAGAGAGAGAGGGGGGCCGGCCACAGACTAGGGGAGGGGGAGGCGCGCGACCACCTTGGGCTGCCCCTTTCTCCTTTCCACTAAAGCCCATTAAGGCCCATATGTCTCCCGGGGGGTTCCGGTAACCTCCCGGTACTCCGGTAAAATCCCGATTTCACCCGAAACACTTCCGACATCCAAACATAGGCTTCCAATATATCAATCTTTATGTCTCGACCATTTCGAGACTCCTCGTCATGTCCGTGATCATATCCGGGACTCCGAACAACCTTCGGTACATCAAAATGCATAAACTCATAATATAACTGTCATCGTAACCTTAAGCGTACGGACCCTACGGGTTCGAGAACAATGTAGACATGACCGAGACACGTCTCCGGTCAATAACCAATAGCGGGACCTGGATGCCCATATTGGCTCCTACATATTCTACGAAGATCTTTATCGGTCAGACCGCATAACAACATACGTTGTTCCCTTTGTCATCGGTATGTTACTTGCCCGAGATTCGATCGTCGGTATCCCATACCTAGTTCAATCTCGTTACCGGCAAGTATCTTTACTCGTTCTGTAATACATCACCTCGCAACTAACTCATTAGTTGCAATGCTTGCAAGGCTTATGTGATGTGCATTACCGAGAGGGCCCAGAGATACCTCTCCGACAATCGGAGTGACAAATCCTAATCTCGAAATACGCCAACCCAACATCTACCTTTGGAGACACCTGTAATGCTCCTTTATAATCACCCAGTTACGTTGTGACGTTTGGTAGCACCCAAAGTGTTCCTCCGGCAAACGGGAGTTGCATAATCTCATAGTCATAGGAACATGTATAAGTCATGAAGAAAGCAATAACAACATACTAAACGATCGGGTGCTAAGCTAATGGAATGGGTCATGTCAATCAGATCATTCAACTAATGATGTGACCTCGTTAATCAAATGACAACTCTTTGTCTATGGTTAGGAAACATAACCATCTTTGATTAACGAGCTAGTCAAGTAGAGGCATACTAGTGACACTCTGTTTGTCTATGTATTCACACATGTATTATGTTTCCGGTTAATACAATTCTAGCATGAATAATAGACATTAATCATGATATAAGGAAATAAATAATAACTTTATTATTGCCTCTAGGGCATATTTCCTTTAATCGCAAGGTCCAGAAAGAAGCCTCGCACCTCTTGAAGACATTTTGCCATGATTCTTGGGCATTGATCGTTGCTGGTCCTGCTGGTTCTATGGCCTCGGCGGATTTCCCAGTACGACCTGCCTTGGAGCAGCAGACCAAGCTGCTGCACTCTGAGCTCCTTGGTATGACTTCCCTCCAGCTTCAGGAGACGGTTCAGCCTCTGCGTGATGTCATTGACTCCATGCAAGGTTGGATGTTGCGGATGGAGAGCTTCATGGTCCGTGTTGAGGCTGCACTTGGTGAGCGCTCCATGGCGCCGCCAGTGTTGCGGTCTGATCATGTCTTGCGTCCTTTGGTTGTGCCTGTTGACAACTTCGAGGTCGAGTTGGGTGCCGAGCTTCATGGTCGTTTCTCCCCTCGTGCTAGAGCCCATTCGCCGTTGTCAGCCTCTGAGGGACTGTGCAATGATGTGGTTGTGACTCCAGTGCTGCAGATCATGCCTGAGTTGCGGGAGTTGTGTGAGGGCTCGGTTCTGCCTCTGTCCGTCGAACAACTGAAAGTAAACCCCCCCGAGATCTCGATTGTGGCTTTACTGCCATCATCACCCTTGGAGTCTAGCCAGATACCTGATGCCAAGGGGTGTGGTGATTTGGACGTTGCAGTCTCTGCCATTCCGTTGTCTGCGACCATCGAGCATGTGATGCCTGTGAGTGACATGTCCACTGAGCCAAGTGTGGTTGCACCTACTCCAAATCCAGATGCTCTGTTCGCGAAAGAACTTTGTGACTTGCTCACCAGTGTGGAGGTTGCTAAACCTGGTTTGGGTAGGTCGATAGCTTGCCTTCTGACAGGGACGCCAATAAGAGGCAAACAAAAGAAGGTGGGAAAAGGCAAGAGTGGCGCCATAGGCAAGGCATCTCTGGCTGCTTGATGGACGAACTTGAGTCTCTCGGCCCGTCCTCTTGGATTGGGTCAACGTTGTGGGTTGAAAGGTGTTTGATGTCTTATGTCGAGGTGTTCTTGTCGGGGTCACATGGCGTAGTGGCAATGTCGAGGTTTGTGGATGTTGTGTAATCGGAGAGTCTGGCGAGGGGCACATGTGCGATTGTGTGGTTTTTTTGCCATGTGAGTAGTTTGTCCGTCCTTCGTTTGTATTGGTTTTCGCCCGTTTTTCCATTAATTAACTGGGCAATTCTTTTCTTCTTAATTAATCGATGAGGCAAAACTTTTGCCTCTGTTTCGAAAAAAAAGCCAATGCCTTGTTAATACTTCACGAAACAACGGGAGCACCAGAAAACACACAGTTCTTTCAACAGATTTTCTCAGAGATTTTTTAGTTTATTCCTTGAGTCAAAGATTATTTTTATTACTTTTAGTTTCCTGTCGGAGAAACGCACACAGTTAATTTTTTGAGAATCTCACACAGTTTTATTTAGGACAGGCCTGTAAGTAATACCGCAAGGCAGCCCAGCCCAGCCCAGCCCAGCCCACTCAGAGGCCCGAAGCCCTCGTCTCTGTGACTCTCTCGGCTCGTTCCTTTCTTGGGACCGAAGCCGAACTCGACTCCCCGTCCTGCCCTGCCCACTCCCCCAAATACAACCAACCCCTCTCGCCGTCTGCTCGCTTGCCCGTCCGTCCGTCCCCCCAAATCCAACCCCCTCCCCGCACGAACCCCGGCGGCGTCACCGGCGATGGAGTGCGTCATCGGCGTGGTCGGCCGCGACTTCGCGGTGGTGGCCGCGGACACGTCCGCCGTGCAGAGCATCCTCGTCCACAAGACGGACGAGGACAAGATCATGCTCCTCGACTCCCACAAGCTCATGGGCGCCTCCGGGGAGCCCGGCGACCGGTAAGCACCTCACCCCCGCCGCGCTGCTCCACGCCCGCCGTCGATCCGCCCGCCCCGGCGGCTCCAGGCTCGCCTTTTCTGTTCGATCTGACCCGATCTGGTTCTGTTTTTTTTTTCCTGGGGGTCGGCGGCAATAGCGTGCAGTTCACCGAGTTCATCCAGAAGAACCTCCACCTCTACCAGTTCCGCAACAACATGCCGCTCAGCACCGCCGCCACCGCCAACTTCACCCGCGGCGAGCTCGCCACCGCCCTCCGCAAGGTGCCGATACCCTCAGCCCTGGTTTCTCTTATACTGTTCTGCTGTGGATTGTCTGTGAGTGTCCCAGGGAGGGGCTAGGGTTCGCTATCCCCGCCTTTATCATAGGCGAATGCTCGGTCTCACACCGGTTCCGCTTTCTTAGGGTTTGTTCAGGTTACTTGGTCTGGTGTAGACCTGTTGTTCGATTGGGTATGTGATTGGGGATTTTTGCCGACTTAAATGGGGGCTTAAGGCTTTACCCTTGTGTAGCCTTGTAGGTTTCTTATTCGTACTTACAGTTTGCTGATGAATACTATTGTCTGTTACTTCTTTGTCAAACAATTTTTGGAAAATTAGTGTCCGTGTTACATACAACCCTGTGTTTATGACTTATGTTAGTTTTAAATCGATGCCAAGCAGAACCTCTGTACATTAGATGGAATTCCTCAACTATGTGCTGCATATGGGCTTCAACTGTTTCTGAGGATTATTTTCCCTTCTAATAGATATGCATTTATGCTGGTTTTAAGTTGATTTCATGTTTCCAGCACTAGGATCGTAGAGCAACGATACATTAATAACACAGCAGAACTGTTCTACAGTACACCTATGAATTGTGTAGTGCCTATGATATTGCACCTTCTGAACTTCCTTTATTTTTTCTGTTGACCATTTGTTCATATTATGGACGAATCTTGCAACACTTGAATAGTGACATGGAATTTATTTGGAATTTTGCAATGCTGCATCTTTTTTATAATATGTCACAAATTCTTACCAGCTTAATGCTGTTTCACTGTATAGTCAGATTAAATTAAAGATAAAACTTGACATGATTCCTGATGGACCTTGAGTGCTGTCTTTGTTGCTTGTATTGTAGATTGATTCATTTACAAAATTTGTTGTTTACACTTGTGAGAATTCATGTGAACGAGGTAGCATTTTAGAGAGGGATGTTTTAATATTTTAACTTGCACTAAGGAAGCAAGTACAGGGCTCTGTCTTCCATTTTGTTGTTGTTTGGCTCCTAGTTGGGAGTTTATTAGAAAGAGAAATCTTCGCTGTAATCTACAGATTAAGAACTCCTGATATTCACCCCAGGCTTGAGCTACACCACCTAGCTATTCCAATTTGTGACTTAATTGCATTTACTTTGTGGTCAGTACCTCCGTGCCACCTTTTCCATTTGCCTTAGTTTCCACTGAGATTACTAGTGTAGAGCACTAGTTGAATTCACCAGCAGCATCATTAACTGATTTTCGTGGCGACGTATTCATCTTTTTCTCTTGACAATTTCTGACGTTATGTCTTATTTCATTTTGCAGAATCCCTACTCTGTAAACATCATACTTGCAGGGTTTGATAAAGATGCTGGTGCATCGATGTACTACATTGACTACATCGCAACGCTCCACAAAATTGACAAGGGAGCATTCGGGTACGGGTCGTACTTCTGTTTGTCGCTGATGGACAAGTTGTACCGCCCTGACATGACTGTCGAGGAAGCGGTAGACCTTGTTGACAAGTGCATCAAGGAGATCAGACTCCGGCTGGTCGTCGCGCCTCAGAATTTCGCCATCAAGATCGTGGACAAGGATGGCGCCAGGGACTATGCTAGGCGTGAGATAGGAGGTGACAGTCCTGCAGCCGCAACCGCAACCGCAACAATAGCAACAACTGCCTGAGGTGATTGGCGCTGTCGGTGGTCATTTGGCTGGCTGGAGGCTGAACCCTTTCTGTTAATTGTTTCCAAGTACTGTCACTATGTAATCGCAATACGTTTCGGTTCGAGAACTGTGTTGCAAATTCTCCCAGATGTGGACTAGTCTGTTTATGACCCCTATTTCATGGTTATATGTTTCACTGTTTCTTGCTATCGAATGCTGTGTTCCGGGTATTTCGGACTTCCTGCTTATTGCTGCTGCTTATTACTGTTGAGCTGTTGTCGATGCTGAGAATTTGTGTATAATGCGTGCTGCATAGCTCATATGCTCATACAAAACCATGAACTGCGCTGTCTTAAATACTGAAGTGGTGATGTGCCTGAGTGGAAACTGTTTGGCATTGTTTGCTTGCAAATGGTACTGTTACAATGTGAGGATACATATGCAATTTCTTGCTTGGGATTGTTACTCTTGTACTCTATGCTTAGCCTGATAACCTGGAACGGGAAGAAACACTTTCAAGAAACAGGCATTTCATCTGCCGGTTTGTCATTATATTCGTTTCTTCATGAATGTTTCTTGATTTGATTCATAGTGGTAAATAAAATGCCACGCGACAAACTATTTCTTGACATGATTCAGTGGTAAATGAAATGCCACGCGACAAACCGGTGATACGACTAATCTGTTCATGCAGAAGAAACTTGCTTACAAACTTGGGTCACACCAGAAAAACTGAATGATACTACCATACTATGTCAGATTCTGAATGCTGTGCTGCTCCGTTGAGCAAACTTTCATGTAGCTGCTAAGAGCAAGTGAGTTCATTTACAATTATATTTTACAAACACAAAACCTGAACTATAGTTAATAAGCTGGACTGTCAAAAATGAAATCCTTTGTAGGGGCAGGGCAGTATACATCTTAAATCCTTCTATAGGGGCCTCAAAAGTGGGTAATCTTCCAGGAGTTCCCGCTCCGACAATGTGTCGTTCTCATTTTGTGGTGTCCATAAGACCTCGACCGCCTATGAAGAAGGTCAATGAAAATGGTTAAACACTATTGCTATAGCCTCAGCAAATCAACCAAAGGTGGATAACAGCATGCATTGCAAGAAAAAAAAAATCTAAGATGTTGCTCATTGAGCGCGCATAACGCAATAATGTCAGATTTTTTGATACTAGTGGAGTGCAAAATTTGTGGTGGGCCTAACCAGATCTATTACAAAGCATTGTTAATTTTAGTTACTGTAACCAGGTTGCCGCTGGTTTACATTCTTTTGACTCCAGTACAGTTGACAAGGCATTAAGAAAGAAAAGAACCAAGCAGATAATACCATTATTTTGCTTGACGGTACCCCACCAAGCATTTGTAGAGCTGTCTTCAGGTCACTGCTGCTGTTTATAGTAGGTAGCTTGTACACTCCCTCAGCAGCAACCAATATGGTAATCTACAAATAAGTAATAAACAATTTCAGATATGAATGATGATTACCATTAGCAGCTAACAAATTTGCAACAAGGGTGAGAATATTTCCACAGTAAATGTGTTTATTTTACTACTCCCTCTGTCCCACAATATAAGAACGTTTTTCAAGCTGCATAGCTTGAAAAACATTCTTATATTATGGGACGGAGGGTGTAGGTAGGAAGGACTAGAATAAGTGAAGCTCTACATATTATGAAGCTCCCAAATATCAGTACTAGTATGGGATATATAAACATCAAAAGACTGCTACCATTTAATTTGAATATTTATATAAAAAGCATACCACAATGTACTCGTTGCTAAAACCACTTGATCGTTGAGTGCCTGCCTTTTGCCTCTTGATACTGTTTACATTCACGAGTGTCTCTTCATCAAACTTGCCTCGTTCCTCAATTGACAGTTGATTGAAACGTTTCTCCCCATCATCCATGCTTCGTTTGACATCCACCTTGAGAACAAGTGAAAACCAAAGAGATTAAGAAATATAAATCCGAACTAGAAATTTACTGATTCCAAATATATAAGATCTCGCTTGTAATATAGGCAGAGCTCCTTTCCTTGATTGGCAAAAAAGAGAGACCGATTACATGATATATATAGTGCTCATGTATGGGATGTGATGTTAGGTAACCTACAAACTTAAGTATGAAAGTATAGTGTACCATTCAAAATTTGCGAATATATATTTTTGGTGATGAAACATTGATGAATATGACTGCGACACTACCAATGAATTGGAAAACATATATAGGCTGCATAAACTGAATATAAATTAAAGAACTAAGTGTGCTTACTGTTGAATAAGCTGAGATACAGCAATCTGGATGTCGAAGTAATGCCAACGTTGTCTCTGGAAGACATCATATCAACAACAAAATGGTTAGGTTGAATGCAGAAGAAAAAAGGTCAAACTCTTATGAAAATAACAAATCTTCACAATGTGCTTGGTTCTGAAGCATAATGTGATGCAATTTATCATCACTATGTTAATTGTATATCAGGAGATATGTGTCCTTAGCAATAAAATAAACCTGTGAAACAGAATTATACGTCGAGAGACTGGAGGCCAAAACTACCCCCCAGTTTCCATGACAGATAGATACTTGGGTCTATTATAGGATGAAAACAATCTTTCCAAACAAACCAAGGGGGACAGAACCTGACAACCAGACTACTCAGACGAGAAAAAGGAGGGAAACCATCTTAGATCACAAGGCTAACACAATAGCAAATCAGATATAATAAAGCAGTATGTTGACTTCACATGCCAATAATAAAAATTGTCACACAACAGTTATGCTGTTGCCCAATATTTATACCATATACCAGCATAACTTGAAGTAGTATAATGAAGCAACACACATTATCTGGTTTTACCTGTTAGTACAAAGCTCAACCCAGCTGGGGTAGATGTATCTGCTTTCTCGGCTATTTGATCAAGCTCCTTTTGAAATGATCGGGCCATGCCTAGCAAGCCAACCTAGGAACATATTCAACATATAGATTAGGAAATTAAAATGGACTCCTTCCACACATAAATAATTGAGTATGCTATGTGGATCAAGTATTTGTGCAATTGTTGTACATTATGAGTAACGTTGGGATGATTACTGGTAAAAAAGATTACTGCTAGCAAGAATTTCTGATTGCCTAATGTAAGCATGATTACTGATAAACAAATTAATGCTGCCACCAGCAGTCCTGATTTGGCAATTACCAATTGCTATACATCTAAGCACAGTATGTGTAAACAACATGTTCACACTTTGGAAAGCAACACTACATAGTTAAAGCTTGAGAAGATAAAGCAAACCAAGTACTGCTAATGATATCTTTGTTATAACATAGCTCTTTCGATCTCCATGGTATATACCGAATGCAATCTTGTTTATGTGTTTGGAAGGACGATTTGTGGTCTAGGCCCTCAAACAATTTAAGAGTTTAAATTATATGCATGAATAATGTTGACATTATCTCATTTGCATGATTATATCATTAGTTGCATCACAGTACAGCTGCCAACATACATCAAGATCACTAGATAAAGAACATAGCTGGAGCTCCTCCAAAACTTTCTAACCTCATTAAAGATACATGCACTAAAGCTAACTCTTTATAATACAGCCTTAACCATTGATGGATCCAGAATCCAAGAAGTTGGCACCGTGGAACAGGCAGAACAATTTAGAATCAAATAGCCACAGATATCAATCCTAGGCATTGTTTTATGCAGAACATATAGAAATGGTGCTCCAAATCAAGAAGTGGTTTACATTTTGCAACCAATCTATGGACAGTTCATTTGCATATTTTTGGTGCAAACATGTGAAGTGTTGAGTCCACCAATTGATCCATGCTAATGTGGAGTACATAGGTAAGTTTATGCAGAACATACAGACATGGTGCCCAAATCAAGAAGTGGTTTAGATATTGCAATAACCAATCTACCATCAATCCATCTGAATAAGTGGTTTACATTTTACAGTAACCAACCTACCAACAATTCATTTGAGGAACAGTCAGAATAATTTACAACCCAAGTGCTACAAATATCAATTCTAGGCACACTCGGCTTCTAGTGTATCAGTTAACCAAGAGCATGCTCAAGAAATGGCGCGGCAAATCAAGAAGTGGTTTACATTTTACAGTAACCAAGCTAACGACAATTCATTTGCATAGTGTTCGTGCAAACAAATGAAGAGTGTTGAGTCCATCAACTGATCTATGCTAATGTGAATTACTCAGGCAAGAAATCGGTCGAAATACCAGAGGAAAACAGCAGGAGAAGAAAGGGTAGGATTAGGAACCTGCAGCTTGAGGACGGTGGTCTTCTGCGTGTCGGTGAGCACGCTTCCGCCCCCGGAGGAGTCGGTGAGGAAGCCACCGAGGTAGAGGAACGCGGCGAAGCCCACGAGGGTCAGGAGGAAGCCCGAGCCCCCGAAGCCGATGCCGAAGGCGGGGCCGACGGACACGAAGGGCGAGGGCGAGTAGAAGGGCGCGGAGGAGTAGCCTCCCCCCATCCTGGGCGCCGGCGCGGTGTACCCGTAGGACGGGGACGGGGAGGAGCGCGAGGAGCGGGAGGAGAAGGCGGACCCGCCGATGCGGCCGCCGGAGGCCGCCAGCGCCGCGTGGTGGGGCGCCGCGGCCGCGAGCAGCGCGCCGGCCAGGAGGAGCGCCAGCGCGGGCTTCCTGAGCGCCGCGAGCGAGTCGAGGAGGGACCGCTTGAGCGCGTCGAGTAGTGGGTGCGGCGGTGG